TGCCTATACCTGGCCTGGGGGGCATATCTGTCTTGTTGGATTGGTTTTGAGGGTTTCCTTGGCCATTCACCCTGCACCCTTTTCTTGCCAACTCAGACCACCAATTTCACAACAGGACAAGGGGCAGTAGCTTCAAACTGACATAAGGCAGGTTTAGATTAGATATTGGGAAGAAACTCTTCATTGTGAGGGTAGGGAGGAACTGGAACAGGTTGCCCAGAGAAGCTATGGGTGCCCCATCCCTGGCAGAGTCCCAAGGCCAGGTTGGACAGGGCTTTGAGCAACCTGTTCTGGTGGAAGGTGTTTCTCCAAATCAAACTATGCTGTGATTCCTCACTTGAGGAAGCACTTTTATGGGTCATCATCACCTCCCTCCCCCATTTATTTTTAGTTTGATGCTTTCCTCATCAGGTTGGACAGCTTCTGGAAAAGAAGACTTTGCTCCATGTGGTGAAGTGAATCTCTTCCTAGTAGTCTTCAATCCTCAAAAAGTATCCTCCAGTTGTAAAAACAAAAGTCCCTGTTGTCAATAAGAGCTGTGCAACTGGTTGTTGTAGATCTGTACAGTTCTACAACAGGGAGGATGTAGGAGAAAATGACCTGCACTCCCTGTCTGCAACCTATTTGGTCATGGCAGAACAAGAACTTAGTGTCACCAGAGGAGATCCAATGTGCCTGTTACATAAGTTAAGCATTATAGATCAACAACTGAGAGACTGTCACAAAAATCTCCGTATGACACACTCCAACCGTATGATCAACTGTTTCATCACAGGGAAAGGGACAAGTGCAGCTGGATAGTGGGAACATCTTAAATCACTGTGAGAGATTATCTGACCATTCCTTAAGTTAGGCAGCTCCAGCAGGCAGTCAGAACACACAGAACATAGCCTGAAGTAGAAATGCACAAGTAACAAAATAAAAAAACCAAAACCAACACCAACAATTTTTTCCCCCATTAACTCCATGCAATTATAAATGACTGTGATTTTTGCTTAGAAATAGAAGAAGATCCCAGACACTAGACAGGAGTGCTGCTGTTTTCTTCAAGTTACAAGGGTGAGGGACTTTTTTTGGTGTATTTGAAATCATCAAAGTATTAAATAACTTCTTAAAAATACTGAAAATAAGCTTTTAAACCCACCATACTTTCTGTTAGTTTGCAGTCCGTCACCATGCCATGGTTTATTATGTGTAGGGGCAGCACTTCTATGCTTCTTCCCACCACTCAAATCCAGCACAGGTGACAAGGAGCAGCAGGGAGTGGTGACAGAAACACAGCAGTTGATACCTACCCCACATACAATGTGAAAAAGATGATGGGAAAAAGGCAGGAGAAGAAAAAAATCTCAGCCTGGTAAGATTCACTCAGTTCTAATCTTGTGTGTTTAGGTGATCGTGGCTTAATATAAAAACAGCTGTGCTAAAAATAAATTATTTTGTGAGGTCAGATACTCAGGAGTACAATTACAAGGAAGTGTAAGTCTCTTTGGAGAAAGCAGCAGGGTATACTTCAGGCAAAAATGTTACTGCAAAATTCAGAAGAATGCCTTAAGAATGGCATCTTAGTAATTTTTTTCTCTCTTAATACTGGAAGATTTTTACATCTGTCACATGATTCAGTGACATAAATTCATTTGTTTTAGTTCACTTCAGAACTATCCATTAAGTCTACATCTATCTACAGTCACTTACACCAATGTTTAATGCAAGAGTTACTATTTCATGAGAGCATGTCTTTCAGAAATACAACTAATCTTGATCAAAATGTACAAAAGGTAGGGAATCCAATGCTTCTTTTGGAAATTTGCATCAATGTTAGACTAAAACCACAATGATCATCAATCCTACAAGGACTCCAACGGAACCCATGGAGATAAAGCACACTGCTTCACCTATGTTGGGCATTCCAATAGACTTATCTCCTACTAGGAAATGCACTTGGTCCTCCCCCTTGCCCCAGCCATATTGCACCTTGAATTCAAGAAAGAACTCACATATATAACTTGTTAGGACTCATAATAAATGGCAAAATAACTGTACTTGCATTCAAATGAGAAGTACAGGTTCATATAGAGGTATAATAGAGGTACCCAGATTCTTGCTTGACAGGTGAATTTCTCCATGAGGAAATAAGTTTCAAACTACTTCAAAAAAACCCTGATGCCCAAGAGGAAAAAGCAAATGGTATCTTATCTAGAGAGACGGTCAAACAAGGATGAGTTAAGGCTGGTCTGTATGCCATATCCAGACTGAAACTCAGAGATCATTAATCACTGACCAGCAGAAGTGTGGTCCCTAGCACCTGAACTGGTAAGACAATTGACAATTGTTTTCTCAAAGAGATATTGTAATGGAAATCAACTCTTCTGGGCTCCTTTGCATGGTCCCAAATTTAAGTATGTTCCATAGACATTAAACAAGCGTAAACCATGTATGATTTTTAACTATGCTTGTCTAATGTTAATTAGGTAACAAATACATTTATCTTTGTGTCTTATCATTAGCCTTAGGATTTCAAAGTAACTTCTAAAGATAGACGATATATCTAAGATGAGTAATCAATGATTTCAGAGAGACACACAAGGAATCTCTGAAGACTTGGGGAGAGAAGCCAGATCACGTGCATGCTGAAACATTCTCTAGCCACTAGGAAACACTGCTTCATTAATTTAGATAAAATTTACACTCTGCATAGGAAAATGTAGGTATTTAAATTACTCCTAATGATATGAAGATTCATGACTTAGTTAGAAAGGCTTACAATAAATCTGCAAATGACTTCACTCAAGGCAGATGCTCAACATGATGATAACCAAACATAAATCATTATAAAAACAAGGTCATTAATGGCACAGATGCCAAATATTTGGGATCAACATGGTTGCTTGATATAGGCTATATTAGCTTGGTATGAAGCACTCACAGCAAGAGGAGAGTTTTAGGAGCAGCATTTGGTATTCTTAACTGAGAGTCCATCACTAGCTTCATTAGTCTGTTAGAAAAGTTACATGATCAGATAATCTTTCCAGGCAGGTGGTATTTCAGAGAGAAATTAAATGTATTTGTATGCTCACAAATGAAATGTCTCCTTTCACCAGGGATTTCAGGTACTCATAAAATCTTCAGGTTGAGAAGCTTTAAGCATTTCAGCCATCAGGAGACAGTGGGCTGTGTTTTAAGTATTGCATCTTTTAAATCTTGATCTTAGACTTTCCCCCTAAATGTAATCACATTTGGGATTAGGGAATACCTTTATCATTCCCACCCTTATTTTTAGATGATCCTTGGAAGCATAACAGTCTTAGTGATATAGACAGGTAACAACAGTGTTGGGATCAGGGCTGTATGGGTTCTAATAACTGCAGTTGCAATACATTAGGGAATCATTCAGGCTGGAAGGGACTTCCAAACTCCTGCTCAAAGCAGGGTCAGCCATGAGGTCAGATCAGGTTCCTTAGAGCTTTACACAGTCAGGTCCTGGAAACTTCCTATAGCAACTGCAGTTTCCTAAGCAACCTCTTCTATTCTTAACAATACTTATGGCAAAAAAGGTTTTTTAGTCTGAACCTCTTTTGTTTCAAATGAAGCTTGTTGCCTCTTCCACCACAGAGCACTTGTACATCTTCTTGTTAACCTCCTGATAGGGCATTCCAGTCACTAAAAGCCTTTTATTCACCAGGATCTTTCAAGTCCACTTCCCTCTTCAAGGGCTGGTTGATGAGGGCTTAAGCCCCTGATCATGTTGGTAGCCCTTCACTGAACTTGCTGAAATCAACCAACGACTTTCTTGAACTGGCATGCCCCAAACTGGACACTATTGTAGATGTATTCTGGCAAGTGCTGAGGAGTGGAGATAACTACTTCCCTCAATCCACTACCCGTGCTTCTGATCACCTCACTGCCTTCTAAGATCCCCTAGGCCCAGTTCAGACAGCTGCTTTCAGACAACCAATTTCCACTCTGTATCACTGCAACAGGTGATAGCTCCCCAAGAGTGGGATTCTTCCTTCTGAATTTCATGCAGGTCCTATCAGTTCGTTTATCCAACCCACTTAGATAGATCCCTTTGAGTGGCAGATCCAGAGTGTCAAATGGTCCCACACACCTGATGTAACCCAAAAACTTGATGGGGGTGCACTATCATCTCCTGTACATCACTGGAAGAGATGTTAAACAAGACCTTGTACTGTGGTAGTCCACTTGTTACTGACCTCCATTAATCACTGTCCTCAGAGACCAATTATCTAATCTGTTTTAGCTTTTTTTTTCCTGCCCATTCAGTTATCCATTCAGATCATAAAGTAGTAGACAACATCCTGTTTTTGGGATACAAAAACTAACACAAATATCAAATTCATAAGGCTCAGTAGTATGGCATGCAAAATCCTTTAACTGCTGGATGTTAGAGAATTTGTACAGCATAGAATACAACTTCAACTTTTAATATGTACTTCTGAAAATCGAAAGCCAGTTATTAGTAAATGTTTGCTACATTATATCCCAACTACATGTTAATTAAAGGATGGCATTAAATGAGAGAAGAAAATAAGAAAAGGCTAATATTAAGCTCAATGAATATTAATGATGAATTATGAAATACAGTAAAATGCGATACATTCTGAAACTGTTAACAAACTGGAATAATTTTAATCTTTAAATTCAACATCTTAATAAAAAATGCAACATAAGAACTTAGCCACATAAAATAACTTCAAAGAATTTGCCTTTTCCTCAACAATAAGCCTCTCTGCTCCCACACAAAAACAGATTCTATAGATAGTGCATGTTCTATTGTATTTTTACATGACATTTCAACAAAATCAGATACATTTATTGGACAGTCAAATAAAATTAAATTGCAGGAGGGAAAAATTGTCCATAGAACATTGTGAAGGGAAACATTTTGAAAAAGACAGTATATTTAAATCCAGTTTAAAAATTTTACCTAGTTAAAGAAAGAAAAGAACATGTATGCCCTTGAAGTAGAAATTACTTACTGTATCATGTTGCCTGTTTTCTTTTCCTGATATGATCAAGAAGTAGTTCCATGCCAGCAGCAGCAACAAAGCCAGTGGTATCATGTAGAGCTCAAAGTTCCAGACCACAAAAAGAAAAAGCTAGAATACAGAGCAAGAAAAAAAAGTGATTGAAATCAGCATTAAACTCTTGTGCAGATTAAGACCAATCAATTGAAAAAATTCTAGAGAAACCCACCTCTCCTTGTGGAGTGTTGTTCAACCACTTTGCTGACTCACACTTACCTCCATAATACAACTACTACCTTTCCCAATCCTTCCTACCTTAATTCTTTGAAAAGAAAAATGATGTAGTCATTAATTATTGTCTCATAAAATAATGCTTTTGTGAATAATGCAAAAGAGCATAAAAATAAGATTGCATTTTAAGAAAGGTTAGTTGCTTTCATGAATCATAGAATGGCTTGGGTTGGAAGGGACCATAAAGGCCACCTAGCTCCACCCCCCTCAACACAAGCAGGGACGTCTTTCAGTAGACTAGACTGCTCAGAGCCTCATCCCACCTGGCCTTGAACACCTCCAGAGATGGGGCATTCACAACTTCTCTGGACAACTTGTTCCAGTGCCACCATCCTCAACAATAAAGAATTTCCTCCTAATATCTAATTTAAACCTCTACTCTTTCAGTTTCAGTTTTTCTTGCAGGTCACAGAGATGTGATAAATTTAAAGAAGACCTCAACATATTATTGAATCTGGTTATAGCTTTGAAACAACCCTGTATCAGTGTAAAGGTGGCACAAGAATTGTTTAAAGACTAATCTGCTATTTAGAAAAAAAGAACATGGTCCCTTTGTAGTAATGTCATACAACAAGCAGAAGTAGCAATCAGAAGTTTTTTGCATGGAAAACTAGCAAGAAGTCACAGTAAAAGCTAAAATCATATGATTATTTTAATGAAAGTATAGTAAAATAGAACTGACCACAGATTCATCAAAAATGGGTTTAAAAAGAAAGCTGAGAAACCACTTAAGTCCACCACTTTGAACACTTTGATTTATTGCAGTGTTAGCTCAAAAGAGCTCAAGTGCTCTGTGACCAGCAGCTGCCAGAAGCCTGGCTGGTTACATCGCCTAGAGGTGTGTGCCTAAATAACTGGGGCTGGTCTTCAGCATGGGATCAACTTGGTCATCCCACCACTGGAGAAACCCATCTCACTGCCAGCTCCATGCACCACTGTCTAGATATTGTTCCCTGTCCATGCTGCTACAAAATTAATGGTTTACAGGAAAGAACTAAAGATAATTGGACTAAGATAGGGCCAAACTAAAAGCATTTTTACCTCCAATTTTCCCTATCAATGAACCCCCTTTTTATTTAAGCCAGCTGTAGCCACAAACACAACAAAAAACAAAAAACAAAACAATGAAACACAACAACAACAAAAAAAGTGAAAGCAAATCACACTATGTACTACAGCTGAATAAACATCCAGAAATCTTGGTAAGCCTTTTCATCCAAATACTAAAGCTTTTGAATATTTGTACTTTTAATACGTTCTAAAAGTATTGAAGATGTTGTGCTACAGAACTCGCAAACCTAAGGCAATGCCAGTACCTAGGTAAACAAAACAGAGCTCATTTTTCCAAATTAGCCATCAAGAGGTATATAAAGATCAGCAAGAATAAAATTCATATTTTAATAGTCTTCTGCTGGATTTTTGTTTGGAGTCTTCTGATAAATTTTTGTTTGGAGTAGGAACAAAATGCTCTTATCAAATACAAGCACCCATGTAGAAAGCAAAAACATAGGTCTATATCTCAGGTAATCTTTCTAAAAATCAGGAAACTTACCTTACCCCCATACTTTCTACCCCTTTTAACTATGTATATGCAAGCCTGTGAAACTGCAAGACAAACATGATTATTCCTGAAAGAACTGAAAAAGCAGTGTTTGTGAGACAAAACCAAGGATATTGGCACTTCTAGATGTTTTTCATTTGAAAGAAAAATGGTTTTTTAAGGTTGTTTAGTTTAAAAGAAAATATGTTAGACATGGTAATGCATAAGAAGCTGTGTTGGTTTCAGGTAAGGTAGAGTTAATTTCTGCCCTAGTAGCTGTTTTGGATTCAGAAATGAGAATGGTGCTGATAACACGCTGATGTTTTGGTTTTTTTGCTAAGTTGTATTTATCCAAAGTCAAGGACCTTTTTTCAAATTGCCTCATGCTCTGCCAGCGGAAGGTATTAAAAATAAACTGGGAGGGAGCACAGCTGGCACAGATGACTGGAACAGACCAAAGGGGTATTTCCATATCACAGAGCATCGTGCTCAGGATATAAACAGGGGGGAATTACTCAGAAGGGTGGATGATGTGCTTTCAGGAAGAGGGGTCTGGCAAGGGTCAGTAGATAGTGAGAAACTACATTGCATTATTTTGTTTGGGTAGGTTTTTTTCTTTTTTATTACCATTATTATTTTTATTTCCTTTTATTATGGCATTTCACTTTACTTTCAATTATTAAACTGTTCTTATCTCAACATAGAAACTTTACTTCAATTCTCCTCCTAATTCCACGAGGATGTGGGGGAGGAGAGCAGGGGTTTGAGCAAGTGGCTGTGTGGTGTCTCATCTCCAGCTAGGCTTAAAACCACAACAGAAGCAAGCAATATCTCATCTTATTCAAGAACTTTTCTGTGACCTTGCTTTCTATAAGAAAGTGGTAAATTAGATGTAACCAACTTACAACAAATTTTGTGTCTCAAAAGAAAAGCAAAATATCCTTGCATGCTTTAACACCAGAAATACCCTGAGTCAATGGATGCACACTGAAGGGTGCTCTGGAAGCCAGCAAAAAGCATGAAGTGTCAGAAAAGTAAATATTAGAGATTACCTGTTGAGAAAGGCAACACATACAGTCTTTATCAGGGCCCCAGCTGAACTTTGGTTAAAAAGTGGTTAAGAATGAAGTACTATTTAAACACTCCCTGGCCCCAGAGGAAAAAAGCCAACAATCTACACACAGTCTCAGGAGACGTGGACCTGACTGGAGTCTGAGGAACATGGTCATCATGTACTCTGTACTCCAGAATCTTGATGAATTCCAATTCAAAAACTTCTCACTTGAAGTTTCTAAAGGCCAAATGACCTTCAAGGTCATTAATTCCTTGCAGTACAGCCATTAAAACATATTAAGAGAATACCTTTTTTACAAATTGTACGACATGCCATTCAAAAGTGTGGATATTACACCTGTCATCACCTGAAGATGATTTTGCTGACCTGCCACCTTAATTTCCATCTAGTCTGGCTGAATTTTAACCAGTTCCTCCTTTCAGGCAACTGTCTCAGCCAGGTACTACACAAACATTGCAACACAAATGAAATGTGTGCTGCATGAGACCAGCACAGTTATGGCCCTCTGACCTAAATGGCCTCATTATTCTTCCCAGGCAAGAAATGCACTCATGAAATGTGTATGAGAGAAAACAAGCAGATTTCCAGTATCAGACAAAACTTTTAAGTAAACACAAGCAAATCCAAAATCAGGTGCAGAACAGCAGGAAAACTCCAGGACTCAGTTCTTATGGATGAAAGGCCTGATAGCGGAGGTGAAAGAGAAGGAAGTGATATGTAAAAACCTTCATGAAAGGTATAGAAATAAACCAACATTCCATTAAGCAAGTATAGGCCAAAAAGTCCCAAACCCAACCCAAACCAGAAAAGCTAATGAATAAGTATAAAAGAACACTTCTGAGAGTTGCCCATGTCTGTAAAGCATCTAGTGGACTGTATCTGACATGATACCTTCCAAGAAAATAATGGCTGTGTGTGTAAAAAAAGGATGCTTATCACTACTAAAACAAGCTAACTATTTTAAAAGATGAATGTGAGTCTCAAAGGTTACAGTTTAATACAACTGCCATTTCATATACAGAAGAATATAAGGAAGGGCTTTTTTCATCTCTCCCATGAGATCAAAATTTTCAGAGTCACAGGGCATGAACTGGTCATTTTCAGTTTATACTCTTAGTGAGAGACACACGCGTTAAATCATCATTCAGAGAGACACATGACACTATCCCTAATGTACAACACTTCAAAAATTAATTTTAGATAGGATATTGAATGTCCTATTCTTTTGCAAACTACACTATATTTTAAAAAGAAATATTATCCAAAATTATTAACACTTCCTACTGTTCAGAAAAAAAGCCTGCCCTTTCAGACTAGCAGCTGTGGATCATTAGCTTTCCACTGATGAGATGTGTTTGATGAGTATTTTTCTTTCTAATTAAGAGACGAGATTCTCTATTTGACTATCTTCTGATGGAATGAAGAGAAAGATTTCTGCCTATGTGGAAAGGCCATATTCTACAGAACAATTACTTCAGATTTCTTTTTATCTACCTCCACCCAACCTCTTTTCATTTTTAACAAAATCCTGTTTGCACCCATTCACAGCATTAACCCCCGTTTTTCTCAACTCTTCTCCTTTTTTCCTTTTGCTTCTGTTTTGACTGCTAGCAGGGAAGAGCATGTGAAAAAAAAAGGATCATCCCCACAGGGGACACTGACCTCATCCTCAGGTACAGAAGAGACCAGAGGACATGATGAAGGAGGAGTGCAAGAACTATGTTTGAAAGCTTTATGACAAAACTAGAAAATGTTAATTCCACAGAAAAGCGTGAGTTCGGTTTACCAGATATTGGCCCTCGTAGCACCCAATGCCATGAGCTGTAATGTGTTGGGAGTAAAGCAAAACACAGACATCCCCACTACCATTGTCCCACACAGGGCACAACACTCATGCTGCAGTCTCCTTCTCAAATTGTGGCTTTCCCTGATCATTTTCACAGAACATCTTTACAGCCTCATTTACATATTATCTATATCCTTGCCTTATATTTATAACAATCTCTTCATTACCCTGGAAACACAAAAGTTGGCTGAACAGCATTTTGGCACAATCACGAACAATCACAAATGTCTACCACCCCAAATATTGCACTCCAATCACAGAATCTTCCATTTCCCATTTAAGCTTAAAATGACAATTTTATTACCTGAGGTTTTGTCCCTTGATGTATTCTCACAAGACTAGAAAGTATGAGACAGAACCCATATATCTGCTTGATACAGACTGTGTACCAAGGACTGCCGGTTTTAAGGCTCCTGCATGGTGTTTTATACCATGAAACACTGGCAATTACTTTGTATTGTACTTTGGAGAGATACTAGCTTCTTCCATTATGAAAGTAGTCAGTTCTAGCAATCACAACTCCTCTGATC